GCGATGAAGCCATGAAGCATATCAATACATGGGACGACTTGGAGGAAATCATGCTAATCAAAGTACGTTAAACACAAAAGGACAAGTACAACATGAGTCCACTGAGGTAAGCTTAAAAAACACAGGGACATAGAAGAGCCGCGAAGTGCATAAATTCCTGGGGCGATGTCCAGGCACCCTGGCAGGGTCAGACCCAACACAGGGATGCATATGGCTGCCAGCTAAAAAGGAGGGGGGAAAGGGTGGGAGAGGGAGGACGTGCATAGTGGGGAAACATGACACTAACCCAACAGCAGGAGGATATTGTTCAAGTCTCCACAGGAAAGTGAGAAAGGGACCAGACCTCAACCTGGGGTGCCAAGCCACAAGGGTAACAGACTGGCATGAAGCAGCAAACTAACCAAAAGGTGTGTGGGGTCGGCCCCAGTCCCAGTTACACTGACCCTATCCCCAGAAAAATGCACTACAGAGGACAGCACTGAAGATACAGCCCGGGGAGAGTGGTGGGTCTGTCCAAACCACACAGGAACAAACAATGGAATACTACGCATCCCTGAAAAGCAGCGATGAACTAATGAAGCACATCAATGCATGGGAAGACTTGGAATAAATTATGCTAAAGAGGGAAAGAGAGAGAGAGAGAGATCCAAACCCTGGCCCATGAAGCCTCGAGGATGACATTCCTGCTTGGAGCAGCCAATGCATAGAGAGGACCATGGGGCTAGCCCCACCATGAGACACGACACCCCCTCACTGACGCACAGGGCTACAGGAGACAGCACTGGGGACACAGAGTGGGACTTGTGCACTGGAGCGGACCACGAAGAGAGTGCAGCAGAACAACAAGGGAAGCAGAAAAATGCAGTACCCTAGGAATCCTGAAAATAGACCTCAGAATTGGTGGTCAGGGCATGGCGCTTCACCAGACCAGATTGGAAAACATTCAGAAGGGCCAGCAGACAGACCTGGAACTATTTATAGGATTGAGTCTTTTGGTGTATTGTTGTGTTTTTCTTCTTCTTAAAAAAATTTTTTCCCCTTTTTCTTATGTTTATCCATATAGGATAGGTAGGATTACCAATCCCAAGGAGAAAACAATGGGGTTGATGGCTCTGGGGAGATATGGAAGAGGAGGAGGTGGGAGGAAGAGAGGTGGGGGAGGCAACAAACCCAGAGACA